AGCACACACTAGCTGGCCTCCACTACACTGGTGTCACTATATGGAGTTCAGTGTGGTTCAGTGTGGTTCAGTACGGGTCCGTGACAGTTCATGATGTGTGTTCTCATTCTGATTCAGTGGAGTGGGTGTGTTTGTTCACCTTTCCCCTGACAGCGTGCGGGTCCATCAGCTGAGTCAGTAGCGGTCACCACCGCAGCGTGTTTCAGTCACCTGTATGAAGGCTCTGCTGCTGTCAGACACACTCATTCAGTCCGGTACTGTCCGGTTCCTCTCTCGTCAGACCTCTCTGCGTGGCCCGCTGGCTGTCATTGTTATTGTGGGTACTGATCCTTGCTCTGGAGGTCTCTTCTTGATCCTGTTTGCTTGTATTGAGTCACAGTGTGGAATAAAGAGTACTGGATCCTGCTGGTTGACGGGTCTCCCTGGTCTGGCTTGTGTCTCCAGCGTCAGCAGAACTCTTATTATTGTTTTGCTGGGCAGAAAGAAGCGATTGACATAATCCTCACTGGAAGAAGAAAGCTGTCGGCCATTCACATATTATGTGTTGAATAATCAACTCCAGTTCATTATTCAAACACACACACACACACACACACACACACACACACACACACACACACACATTCAGAGGAAGTGACGTCTGATGGTTTCCACATGTTCTGATATGCACAGATTGGTATCAGACCTCATTCATCTGATCAGCCAAGCCCACATTAAAGAAGATGAGGCAAACGTGAGCTTTTTCTGTCAGAATCTAGAACAGATCAGAGTCCCTGACAGAGTCTGCTTAACAGGAGAGAGAGATAGCGGTGTTTAGGGCCGCTGCATATACACCACCCTGCAAACAGATGAAGGAGAAAAGGTTTGTCAGTCAGTGCCGCTCTTCTTTCTAGAGTCAGTGTGTGTGTGTGTGTGTGTGTGTGTGTGTGTGTGTGTGTGTGTGTGTGTGTGTGTGCGTGTGCGTGTGTGTGTGCAGACAGTGCATACAAGCCACTTTGAAAACAAGACGCAAGCAAGTCATCAAGAGAGTCAGAGCTGACCATCAAGATCTGCAGCCTCTGTGTGCCACATGAAGTGAGGGGAGCCAGAGACGTGTAGTGTAACATCAGTTCATTGTAAAGGATGACAGGGTGAACAGAACTCAATACAGCTGAAGTGCAGGATGGAGACGGATGACCAGAGGAGATCTCAGAGGAACCAGGAACACAGACAAGTAGAGGAGCGACCAGGAGAAACCACACTATGAAGGAGAGACGCAGACGCTGGAGATCACAGGCAACAAGAGACAGGTAAGAGGCCGTATAGAGCACAGGTGTCAAGTCCAGTTCCTGGAGGGCCGTAGCTCTGCAACCCTGCTTCTACACCCCTAAGCTGTAGTCACACTAGAGTTTGAGTTTGCGCAATTCTGTCGTACAGCGCTGTGAAAGGGACGGGATTAAACTCGCTGTAAATAAAAAGCGAGTGATTGCTCCATGTTTTAGTCCCTGTACAGAGAGCTCATGTTCTGATCCTCGATTGGTCTCAAGTGATGCGATTTCACAGGTCAGAGTTCACCAAGCTTGAACTTTTCAATGCAGTGATCTGAGAAGCTTGACACACGACCTTGCGTTTCCAGTCTGACGCATTCACGTGTGTATGAATGGAAGTCTATGTGAGGAAAGTGCGATGTGAGCGCAGAGCTGCAGCCTCTGGGAACTGGATTTGACTCTTGTGGTGTAGAGAGTGCTGTCCTTAATGAGGCCGGACACTGAGCGAGGGCTGCTGAGGGTGTTTATGGTGCCGGAGAGATGAGCGGGAATGACATGCAGGTGCAGGACTAAAGAATGCTCAGGTGACCGGGATCTCTGTGATCGGGTTGCGTTAAGTTTCGCAGGTTGCTGCGGTGTAAAGTTCAAGCTTGGAGAACTCTGACCTGCTAAATCGCATCACTTGACTGCGTGAGACCAATCGAGGATCAGAACATGAGCTCTCTGGACAGAAGATGTCACATTTCTTTTGGCAGCGCCGTACAACAGAATATGGCATGCTCAAACTCTAGTGTGACCGCAGCTTTACACTGAGTAACAATAGAAGAGTGTTCAGTCAACATCAACCGATTAAATCCAGGAGATGATGAGGAGTTAAAGATGAGTGGATGAGGATGTGCCCCTCCAAGTAAAGTCATGACATAATCACACACTAACAGCTCATAAGGTCATGAGGGTTACGTTTAGCTTAAACTTAAATCTTAATTAATACTTTAAATAACAACATGAAATAACAAGTAATTAAGGTCACTGTTATTAAGGTCACTGTTATTGACATGTGAACTTTCGTCACTCGTGTTGTAAAGTTAGTGGAGGATCCATTAACTCATCATTAGTTCAGAGTAATGTGTAGTTTGCACATCAAATATCAAAACAAAAACTAAGCAGAGCAAAGGACAAGCAGACATCACGGTAGAAACACAAGCAACTAGCAACAAGCGGCTCATGAAGGTGTTTATATATATATTTATACACAAGAGCAACCAATTAGCTGAACTGGAGGATGAGGCAGACGACAATAACTAAAGCAAAGCTCAACAAGACGGAGAGAGAGAGACTGAGGTGATCAACAATGATCAACAGAAAACACTGGAACACCAGTGTGTGTGTGTGTGTGTGTGTGTGTGTGTGTGTGTGTGTGTGTGTGTGTGTGTGTGTGTGTGTGTTCACAGTGCAGCTCGTGACGTCAGGTTTCTTCTAAAACTCAAAAAGTTACCCAAACTCCTGGAGCCGCTCCAAGAATCCTGGGTGTGGATCTGTTTGCATCTTTGGTAATTCAATGCTTTTATTTGTGTGATTCATTTCTCAAACAGCTGTTAAATTCACAAAGACCTGAAGATCCACATTCCTGGAGAAACTACACACACACGCGCGCACACACACACACACACACACACACACACACACACACACACACACACACAGATGTTTTATTAGAAGGGAATTCCAGCTCAGTGACACATGACAGAAACACTTGAATAACACTGTAAGGTTATTGATGTTATCACTATTATTATTATTATTTCTAAACGGGAGAAGTGCTCCTGATTCTGATGTTATTGTGGATATTAAGTGACTCATTTGCCAGAGGTGAAGGTTCTGGATTAGGCATGGGCCGGTATAAGACTCTGGCGGTTTGATACCCTTGTTTCTAATCGAATGTTTGCACGGTTTGACAGTGTTGTGCTCACTGCTGTAAAATACACTCTTTCTAAATGTCTGGGTAAAAAACTAAATGTTTTTCTCTTTGAACACAATATATTTATTTTCTTAAGAGGTTTATAACCGTTTGGAGCAGTGAGCATGTCAGGCTGAATAATTAGACTGAATCCCTGACGTCTGCTGTCTTCATTGGTTATTAACTCAGATTTCTTTACAATGTGAAACAGCATCTTCACAGATCTTTTCTGCGGGACATTCTGTTTTCCTGAAACAAAAATGCAAATAAAAATCTTACACACACCTTAGGAATGATATAACAGAACATTTTGATGGTTTTAAACTTGACTTTTCCAAACTGCGGTATTCCTCGAACATGGTGTGGAAACAGCAGCAGCAGCAGCTATCGCAAAGGCCTACATAGGATTGTGCGAACTGCTGGACGTGTAGTAGGAGGGGATCTTCCCTCCCTCCAGGACATCTACACCAGGCGGTGCATGAAGAAATCCAAGAGAATCATCAGCGACTCCATCCACCCAAGCCATAGACTTTCTCTCTGCTCCCCTCAGGCAGACGGTTCCGCAGCATCCGGTCACGCACCAGCCGACTAGAGGAGAGCTTCTGCCCTCAGACTATCAGGCTGATGAACATACACACACACACACACACACAGACTCCTCCACACCCCTCACTGCACACCATCAATATGTAGCATGCACTGCACTTTAACCAGCCCATACTGAAACACCACTGCCCTGGATAGTGGACACCTACTCATTGTACACATCGCTGCCAATCTCACATTGTCGTTGTATTTGCAGTGTCTGTATTTTGCACAGTCTGGAGCATCACCTAAGCTTTTCACTCATCATAGCCCACACGCTGCTGATGATGTACAATAAAAGTGATTTGATTTGATTTGCACACGGTTATCGGCCCATGCTTGTTCTAGATCAGTTCCCTCTCTGTGGTGCTGCTTTCTGTTCAACTCATAGAATCTAAAGCAGGGGTCACCAAACTTGTT